GTTAAAACGAACTTGTCTATCTTGCACTTTGAATGGGTCTTTCGTGTATGCTTTTTAAACATGTTTTTGTCATTTGAAAATATCAGATTGATGAGTTATTTAGATCTTCCAAACAGCTGACACACTTCATTGTACACATCAAAATATCACATTTGTTGATGTTACCATCAAGGCCATCAAAAAATCTTTAAGTATTGGGAAGCTATCAAGCTCATGGTGTAACAAAAATTTCTCCAAAATTCCAATTTTGACTTGAAAGTTCAAAATGTATCATTGACAGCAAATACTGTCTGTTGTTTCCCTTAACATGACACGTTCAGATAAGTTCACTTCCTTCATCTTTGAGAAAATGGTCTGCCAAATACCTAGGCACAGTAACCACAGTTTCCACCCATTTTTTTCACATAAAAAATAGTATTTCACAAAAAACCCAAGCTAGTTCCAGCTTGCAACTCAAAGACACCAATGATTCTCCTTGAAAGAATCATATTACAGCCTGCAGCTGAGTATTTTGTGCAGACTTCCCATTTTGACACACAGAATATTAAAAGGTACTTACATAGGGTCCAAATTTAATAAAATTAATCATTGTTAGTGCTTCATCAAAGATCAAGAACATTCTGAATTAAAAGTGACATTGTTTTTACTATATTGACTGTTTCATAAAGGATCAAAGACATTCATAAATAAAAATGGGATTGTTTTTACTGCAAGATATGGTAGTCAAAATACAGTAACTCCTAGCACAGTTTGGTGCCAGCCCCTTTATTTGTGCAAAAGCACTAGAAGTTTTGCCCATCATTGTTTTTTCAACATCAGGGCGAATGTTGACACAATGAAAAAGGCAAATGATTATGAAAGCAGTTTTGACCTTGTGAATTCCATGAAAGAACCCTGCTAGAGTGATGCTACTCAGTTACAATTTTTGTGGTTCACCACTTGCTCAAAAGATTCCAATGATCAAACTTTTAAACTGGAAATTTAAACTTAACATCGTCTTACATTATTTGTCACTTTATATGCTTCTTCATGCAAACTGGCTCTAGACAAAAGAAGCTGTTCCCATTGCTATTATAAACCTTGGGAGTTCGCAGTTTCTTTCAAATTATTTTGCTGCTTCTTGAGCCTAAAGTTCTTCACCTTTTGCATACTTTATATGCAGGCTCTGCCTTGTTTTCAAGATCCAGCTCAAATGAGGCCTAGGTAGATGTCACAGAACCCTGTGCTAAAAGGACACAGCACTTTCTGCCTCTACCATGCCACTTACTCTTTATTCGGCAATAATATATCACGTTGCCTGAAGCCTAGCAGGACACCTTCCATACAGTTGGTACTCGGTGAACAACTCTTTGATAAAACAAGCATTTGGTTGCACTGAGCCATTTGTTTACGTGTTTTATGGTAGCTACCATATGAGGTTGTTGACTGAAGTTAGAGTTAATGTCTGTTCCCTGAATAAATTAGTATTCATTGGGAAGCTTACTGTGGTATAAGGTAGTTCAGCTCACAATCTTGATCTCATTAGCCAGTCTGTTCTCTTTAACATTCTCAGACTTGTATAAAGATCTACCAACCAATAGCATAAGGATCTCAAAACATTTTGAATTTTATAAAAAAGTATTGATTTTTTAAAATTATGTCTGAGAGTTTGTTGAGACAATATTATCACTTAGTTGCTATCATTAACAACCAGTAAGTTACTCAAATAAAGGAATTGCACCTAACCATTGTCTCTTACTATCTTCCTTCTGGTTTCAAACTTAAGTACTTTTTGAACCATAATGAAGTGTTATACTATGATTATGAAATACACATACCTAAACTAATGTGGATGACTCTTTGAAACAAAAGTGAGCTACATATACTGTCTGTAAATTGTATTAGCAACTAAATAAAGCTTGTCTTTGAAGAAATTTCATAAAGCTAGTTTCATTTCACAGCACACCTTGAGAAAATTTTAGAATATAAAAACGAAATGAAGTTTCAGGTCATTTTTCCATTCATCTATCTAAACTGGGACACAATCAAACATATTTTGTCTTCAGTGATTATAGGTGTTGAAGAATGAGAAACATGTCTTATCTGGCAGGAGGTAGAATTGGTGCCTATTTTAGTCTCCTTAAATCTTTGAGAAATGTGCATCTACTTTCTCAGTAAAATTGTATTTATAATGGACATATTAAAGGACTTATGAATGAAAGTGAAAGCTTTCTATTATTACCAATCAAACCATTATTAATTTCAGGGGTTAATGAAATAAATGTATTCTAGTATAAGCAAGTATTAAGTCCCTGCTGTGTTAAATCCATCAGCCTAGGGGACAGTCCTTCAGGTTCTCACATCTGTTCTGGAGTCAAAATTCAGATGTAGATGCACACTTCCTTCAATCTCAGTGACTTCACAAACTCTACCAAATAGCGCTTGCTCCACAATGAGCCATCACACTGACGACACTTCTGCTGAAATCTTCAGCAGCAGAATCACATACAGTCCAAAGAGATCTGGTCAGTGACGCTCTTACTACTACCATCTCCACTGCCTGTGGCGTGGGTGCTGTGAGGTATACCTAAGGGTCAAGTGTGGTAGGGCATCTGGCTCCAGTCACTACCACCACAGTTGGATCAGATTTCACTGTGTCTGGGAGAGTTTTTCCCAGGTATTGGGGAGGGTGGAGGGTGATGAGTTCCTTTCCCTACTCAGTGTTCTATTCAGCCTAACCTACTCCATGCCAATTGTTTCCAGTCACTCACATAGCCTCTTCCCTACAATACAAGCTTGTTTCCAGGAGAATTTGTTTGGGACCATTTCCCTTCTGTGCTGCTTCACAGACCTGGAGCTTCTGCCTTTTCTTTTTTTTGAGACAGGGTCTTACTCTGTTGCCCAGGTTGGAGTGCAATGGTCGATCTTGGCTCACTGCAACCTCCACCTCCTGGGTTCAAATTATTCTCCTGCCTCAGCCTCCCAAGTAGCTGGGATTAAAGGTGCCCACCACCAAGTCCGGGTAATTTTTGTGTTTTTTAGTAGAGATGGGCTTTCACCACGTTGGCCAGGCTGGTCTCAAACTCCTGACTTCAGGTGATTGGCCCGCCTCGGCCTTCCAAAGTGCTGGGATTACAGACGTGAGCCACTGGCCCCAACTGCTTTTAACATGTCGACCATTTGACTTGGTTCAGAGGCCACACCATGCCTCCTCTCTCTTTCTACCTCTGTGGTAGTTGTGCATCAAGAAACTCATTGATCAAAGTAACAACAGTTCTGCCCCACAGGTCCCATTCACTTTTGACTCATTTTCTGCAGTAGTCTTTAAACATACATTTCAACAGCTTCTCACTCAGAGGGAAGGAAAAGATAAAATTCTGCAGTTCTTAGATAGCTCCCATATAGAAATAGGAAATTTTAGTTTACTAAAGGCTGCTGACCTATTACAAAATCCATTAATCAATTCTGTGCTGAATTCACTGATATTATGTGCAAGGGTTTCCACCTCCACAAACTGTCCCATGTTTAATGATTAAATCAAGGAGGTATTATGTGGTAGTACTTTCCCCCCACAGATGTTACAGTTTAAGTCATTTTCTTTGTGTGTGTTTTTTTCCCCCAAGTTGTTATTTATTTTCATGAGGGGGGAAAAGAGAATCTTTATGATAGTGAAAATATACTTTTTTAAAATACAACAGCTTCCAGTAATATACTGGTGTAGATGTTCCAAAGAGCAAAGAAAATACATGCATTCTATAATAAACTTTTATTTGCCTGTTCAAGAAATTCTAAAGAAAATACTCCAATTCTATTCAACATTATGGCTTAAGGAGTTGAAATTTTTCCATGATAAACATATAATTTGTCTGGCCCAAACCTTGACTATTTATAAATAGTATACCATGGCATGTCCCTTCAAGTTTTGACATGTCATGGTATACTTTTAATGAGTCCACTTTGTTTTCTTTATTTATAAAGGATGGAAATTTTTAAAGTCCATATATATCAATAATGAATGCTCCCCTCTCTTTGAATTAAATGCTTAATTCAAATTAATGTAAGAAATTGGTGAATCATTAAATGATGAAATGTGTATCAAAATCTTCACGAAAACATAAATTTCCATTTCCTCTCCACTTTCACTTTGTAGATATTTTCTAATTGGGTTTAAGTGCCCAGAAATAAATGCCATCTACGTGCAACTCTGGAGAGGTTCGAAACACAACAGAAGTAAAATTAACATGCCTAAATCCTTGAACAATCTGTATATAATTAAGAGATTTCTGACATTTATTCTTACACTAAGTTTAAGTCATTTTTCTGGCTGCGCAAGGTGGCTGATGCTTGTAATCCCAGCACTTTGGGAGGCCAAGGCAGGCAGATCACGAGATCAGAAGTTTGAGAGCAGCCTGGCCAATATGGTAAAAAACAAAAATTAACAGGGTGTGGTGGCATGTGCCTGTAGTCCCAGCTACTTGGGACACTGAGGCAGAAGAATCACTTGAACCCAGGAGGCAGAGGCTGCAGTGAGCAGAGATCATGCCACTGCACTCCAGCCTGGGTGACAGAGCAAGACCCCATCTCACAAAAAAAAAAAAAAAAAAAAAAAAGCCATTTTCTAACAAGTGACAATTTCAGTTTTTGTTGAGAAAGTCCTGAATAATTTCAAAGTAAGGAGAAAGCAGATAGAATGAAATCAAAATAAAAATTACCAAATTAATCCAGTAGATACCCATCCCAAGGAAAGAATGTATATGCATGTCCCTTCAAGTTTCAACACACCATGGTATACTTTTAATAAGTCCACTTTGTTTTCTCATATTATTTGGTGGGAGTTCCACATGAATAGATTCCACAGACATTTATGAAATGGAATTGGGCAATGAATAGCTCCATCCAGAGAGTTACTATAAGATGACACTGTTTGGTCTTCTCATCCTATGTGACTATAAAGTAATTTGTATTTCTTTTCTTTGAATGCCCTTTTTAGACTATTCATATTTTTATTATGTTTTGCCTAGTTGGGTACACAATGAATGATCTCATTTTTGAATGGCAAGATGAGGCACCTGTACAAGTGGCAGAAGGACTCACTTTGCCCCAGTTTCTGTTGAAAGAAGAAAAAGACTTACGATACTGCACTAAACATTACAATACAGGTAGGGGTTGAGTAGTGTTCTTTACACTGACTACTTGTGGTTTTATGATATCCAGATGTTTCTTCATTATAATGCTAAGTTATTTAACTCTTCTTAGATCACCGTTTTTCATAGGCATATAGCAGAAAATGGATGCATTTGAAACTTATCAATACTTTGATTCATTACATATTGTTAAATAATTGGTCTGTATGAGACCAAAGTAATGCTTGGTGTTCAATTATCTTTAAATAATTTTCAATGAAAAGCTCATGATTACATAGTAATAATGTTTCCAAAACTATTCTTTTAATTTCTGTGAGCAATAAAATGTGTTTTTGACCTTTCTTGGACAGTAAACACTGTTTCCGCTAAAAAAAAAGAAAAGCTTTGTTGCCTGACTTCTCCCTTTGTCATATTTTCATGCATTTCAGTGTTACTTTTACCTAAGCATCTACTATTCACACTAAGACACTTGAGATAAATATCAGATATAGTTATCAACACTAAGAATTTAGAGACTCAATGTGGTATCTGCACATCGGCAAATTCTGTTCAGTTACTTTAATTAACATGGGCTATTTCCATAAGAAATATTCTAACTACACAGTTGAATGTATGCATTCAGTTAGAAAGTAATGGAATTCAGAGAATTCCATTCTCTGAATGATTGAGGCATCATTCCATTGTGGTGACTACATGGCCTCGCACTAGCATCAGCTGCTGTTCTTATCATTTCATTACAGTTACTATGATTCATCGTGGACTCAGCATTTTCCAGAACTGTGCTCTGACCTTTCACTATACAAAGTCCCTAGTCTCTCTTATCTCCTTAGCAAATTCACAATATCTGATCAAAAAGTCACCACTGTTTTCCTTTTCACTCAGAGACGAAGCTGATATCTAACTTATTAGGGAGTTCAAGTTTAACATGTCCACACAAAGATAAAGAGCAGGCAAGTCAATGGCACCGTCCTTGCTCAGTTCCCTTAGACAGATGCTAAAACTCCCCTAGAGTTGACTTATGGAGGTATATTAGTTTCCTCGCGCTGCCGTAACAACCTATCACAAACGGTGACTTAACAGAAATGTGTTCTCTCACAGTTCTGGAGGCTAGGAATCCAACATTCAAGGTGTCAGCAGAGCCATGCTTTCCCTCAAAGCTTTAGGGAAGAGTTTTTCCCTGTCTCTTCCTGACTACCTGTTTCTGGAAAACCTTGTTTCTCAGCTTGCAGATGCATCATTTCAGTCTCTGCCTCCAGAGTCACGTGGGATTCCCCCATGTGTCTATGTTTCTGTGTCCAAATTTCCCTCTTTCTATAAGGACGTCAGTAATGTTGGATTTGGGACCCCCTCTTATCCAGGACAATTTCATGTTAACTTGATTGTATCTGCAAATCCTTTATTTTCAAGTCAGTTCACATTCACAGGTTCTGGGTGGACATGAATCTTAGGGAGATACCATTTAACCCAGAACAAGAGGTGAAGTTGTAAACATCAATTAGGGATGAAGTTTTATTTAGTGTAAAGGAAGTTTGCATACTTCCTCGAGTTATCAAATGAGCTATTACAGCTTAAAAGAAAAGAACTTACATTTATGAATGCCTACCATAAGCAAGGAATGGGACATCTTGGGAGATATCATAGAGACCTTACAACTTTACATTCTAGAAGCACTGTACTGTCCAGAAGCAGAATAACTTGCCCAAATTACGTAGAGAATGAAAGCATCTCATAGAGTCCTCATTCAAGTATGTGGTTAATTTGCTTCAGATCCCAGACTCCATTTCATATTTGCTTTTACAATGCACAAGAATCTTCTTTTGTTTTCCAATAATAGGCCTAGATTCCACATATGTCTTTTATGTTACTTGTGAAAATACAACAAACAACAATACTGGGTTACCTAAGACCAAATTTATAAAATACCCTTTCCTCCCATAAAATGAAATACACTTAAGTTAAAAATGTTTTCATATACAAATTAATTGCACAAAATTAGAGGATTTATTCAGTTGTATTTTCACTATCCCGAAGTATTTATTAGTTATATGCTACAGCATTCTGTTATCTGTCTCCTGCTAGTAATTTCTCCAAAATCTTTTATCTCTCTTCCCCTTGCTCCGTAGTACCCTGCCACAATGACTTGCTTGCTTATATACTCCAAACTCATCTTTGTCTGTCTCAGGGCCTTTGCTCTTGCTCTTCCTTCTGCATGTAAAGTTCTTCCCGAAATTGTTCCAGGTCTAATACTCCCACTTCCTTCAGGGTTATTCAAATGCCAACTCTTGAAACATCCATATGTCACAATAAGTGTTAAATGCCCAAATTCTGCTTTCACCATCTGAAATTATATCATTCAATTTTATGTTTATTTATTTATTGCATATTTCTTTCACTGTCTTAAGTTTGCATTACATTGATTCTGTTGATCACTATATTTCTGGGGTCTGCTGCCATGCATAAGTGATGGATATTTTGTCCAACTTGTTCTTTTATCTCTTCAGATCCACATACACTAAGTATATTTATTTATATACAAGCAATGGTGTATATTTGTGTTCATGTGTGTATCCCTTTATTTTCTTTCCCAGCAATATTATAAAAAAATTTTTAAATTTTTATAGATCCATAATAGCTGTATATGTTTTTGGAGGTACATGTGATATTTTAATACAAACATGAAATCTGTAATGATCAAATCTGGGTAACTGGGATACCTATCACCTCACATATTTATCAATTCTTTGTGCTGAAAACATTCCAAATCTTTTCTTCTTTCTATTTTGAAATGTGCAATAAATTATTGTTAACTGTAGTTATCCTCATTATGCTATTGAACACTAGAACTTACTCATTCTAAGTGTATTTTTAAACCCACTCACCAACCTCTTCACCTGCCTTCTTCTCAGCCTCTCAAAACCACTATTCTCTTTACTACAACAATGAAGTCAATTATTTTAGCTCCCACATATGCATGAGAACATATGATATTGTCTTTCTATGCCTGGCTTATCATCTAGTTTTATCCATGTTGCTGCAAATGATAGAATGTCATTCTTTTTTGTTTGAATAATATTCCATTGTGTATATATACTACATTTTCTTCATCCATTCTTCCACTGAGGGACGTTTGGGTTGGTTCCCTATCTTAGCTATTGTGAATAGGGCTTCAGCAAACATGCAATGAACAGGTATCTCTTCAATACACTGATTTTCTTTTTTTTGGATATATTCCCAGTATTGCATATCGTATTTTTACTTTTACTTTTTCAAGGAACTCCTATACTCTTTTCTCTGGTAGCTGGACTAATCTGTATTCCCACCAATGGTGTACAAGTGCTCCCCTTTCTCCCCTTCCTCATCAACACTTGTTGTTTTCTGCCTTTCTGATAGTAGTTATTTTATTAGGGTGAGAGAATATCTTACTGGTTTTTTTTTTGAGACGGAGTCTCGCTCTGTCGCCCAGGCTGGAGTGCAGTGGCGTGATCTAGGCTCACTGCAAGCTCCGCCTCCCGGGTTCACGCCATTCTCCTGCCTCAGCCTTCTGAGTAGCTGGGATTACAGGCGCCCGGCTAATTTTTTTTTTTTTTTTGTATTTTTAGTAGAGACGGGGTTTCACCATGTTAGTGAGGATGGTCTTGATCTCCTGACCTCGTGATCTGCTCGCCTCGGCCTCCCAAAGTGCTGGGATTGTACTTATTGTAGTTTTGATTTGCATTTTTCTGATTCTGAACTTTGAAAAACACTCTTTTTAAATAAAAACACAATGGAGTTTATTTTTTTCCTTGAGAATCACCTGAATCAGTTATTCTTGTTTTATTCCATTTCATTATTTTTCATAGAAAAATTTAAATCTTTATATTTATTATGTTTCAGGAATCTTTAGGCATTTTGTATATATTTGACAAATTGATAAAGGGATCATGTATGGTTTGCACATATGTTTCTGATTACTATTCGCCTAAGAGTGGAACCTACATTTCCCAGACTTTGTGAACTTTTGTTGAGACTTAAGCTCCGCAAACACATGCATGGGTTCATCCAGATATAGCGCCCTTGCCTCACCTGTGCAAGCACGCATGGCCCAAGTCACTCGCACTGAGTCCTACCTAGCAATAGGACAGCAATTGCTCTTTAACATCTTTCTTTCATGATAACTAACAGAATGCTACTTAAAGAGCAGAATAACTTTCTGACCTCATCCTTCTTAAAATAATTCAAATAAAAACAATTAAACCAAGAACTTGGTGATTTAGAAGAACAATTTTTATAAAGGAGAGATAATATAGAGTAGTATAAATCAATATCAATAGAGTAGGGAGTAGAACAGGACACAAACAAAAAATATCAACTTAATGTTTATTAAACCATCATTTACTCCTCCACGTATTGCTCACCAAAATAGAGGTAAATAATAGAGACACAAAAGCATACGTATCTACTACAAATGGATCCCACTTGTTTTTAGTAAGTGTGCTTTTATTTTCAAAAGTATTAATGGGAAATAGCATATATTTTCCTACTTGTTTGCTTTATTATTCAAGGAATCATTCGTGTTCAATTGTATTTATCCTCTCGCACTTACTTTAAAGAAAATGGAAAGGCTTCTGGAACAAATAGCACCTGGCTTTAAAGAAGCACTCAAAGCATCAGAAACAGTCAATGAGTAAAGAAGATCTTTATATAATAAGTATCTGTTTCTCCTGTCTGCCTCAGAAGCAATTGTCGTAATCAAGTGAAATAATAAATCTTTGGATATTTTGACAAGTGTAAAGCGCTTTTCAAGCCGGAAGTAATAAAGTTTACTGCTATTTCCTACAAGAGTACATTCTCTTACTACATTGCTTCTTGATGCTAACAGTGAGAAATATTTTTTCAGGAATCAATATGAGTCTCTTTTCATTATCATGGAAAGTTATATGACAGAAACCTTATCAAAATGAAATTGTGAGGTCAGGAGCAGTGGCTCACACATGTAATCCCAATACTTTGGGAGGCTGAGGTGGGCAGATGACCTGAGGTCAGGAATTCGACACCAGCCTGACCAACATGGTGAAACCACATCTCTACAAAAAAAAAAAAAAAAAAATCAGCCAGGTTTGGTGGTGCATGCCTATAATCCCAGCTGCTGGGGAGACTGAGGCAGGAGAAAGTCTTGAACCCGGGGGGCGCAGGCTATAGTGAGCTGAGATCAGTCCACTTCACTCCAGCCTGGGGGACAGAGTGAGACCCTGTCTCAAAAAAAAAAAAAAAAAAAGAAAGAAAGAAAAAGAAAAGAAATTGTGATATTTGATGCCATAACAAAGACCTATTTGTACTAATTGCTGTATTTACCTTACCACCAATTAGGAAAGTTTACATGTATAGAAGTGAGATTCCATCTGGAGCGACAAATGGGATACTATCTGATCCAGATGTACATTCCCAGTCTCCTGATCGTTATTCTATCCTGGGTTTCGTTCTGGATCAACATGGATGCGGCACCGGCCAGGGTAGCTCTGGGGATAACCACTGTGCTGACGATGACGACACAGAGTTCAGGATCACGAGCTTCCTTGCCAAAGGTAAGTGCACCGAATGAGCATACACATCTTCGCACACACACTTATAATCTTGCAAAGATATCATTGTCGGCTTTGGTCAGATATTTTTCAATGGCATTTCAATGGCATTACTGGTGTTCAAAGTAATGTATAACCAAAGCAGAAAACACGTAAAACAGAAATAAATGAAAAAAATTCTGCAAACCAGTGATATCCGCTATTCACATTTTGTGTTATTATTCTCAATTATTTAAATATCGATAATACTCTTATACACTATGGAATTATTTGTATCAATAGGTTTTAAAATATTTAGAAATATATTAAACATTTAAGTTGAATCTACATGGTAATTTTAAATGGTGGCATAGTACTCCATTGTATGGATATGCCATAATTTACTTAGTCACTCTTAGGACTGATATTATAATAAATATTTATATAATAAATGTTATATATATTAGTGTATATGTATATATGTGTGTGTGTACCTGTGTCTATACATATCACACATATCATCTATATTTATATATACACATTTTATGTAAACATACATATATATCTATATATAGACACAAACACATACACACACATAGCTTTACACATATTTTTGTTATGTTCTTAGCATATATTCTTATAAACAGAATTGCTGCAATGATAGCTGTATGCATTCATATATATTGCCAAATTTATTTCCAGAAGACATATACCAATTATACTACAAGTATTTTATCAGAGTGCCCATAGTGCTGCGTCCTGAGCCAAATATGGTATATATTATTTTTGTGGGGTTTTTTTTCTCCCTTTTGCTTTTAAGTAACCATAAGTCAATAGGAAGGAGACCTTATCTAATTCCATGATTTTCATCCATGCTGAGCTGCCAGAATTAAAATAAAATTGTTCCCTCTGTGAGGTTCGTAAAAGACCCAATATTGCTTTGCATAAGATATACTGAAATAAAACTCTTTTCATTTATTTAGCTGCATAGAAATAGAAAATTATTTTCTTCCCCTAAAATGATGTCTAAGAAGAAGTTTCTATCATCTAAATTAAGTAATTCTGCATAGCTTCCAAAAAGCTTTACTATTACTTTCATTGAAATGAAGTACTTCTGTGCAATAAAATCACATTAACTTTTTTTGTGTGCATTTGATGCTATCTTCTTGCCACACCAAGTAAATTATAAATCTATTGTCATGGCTCCCTTAGTCCTTTCTACTAATTCATTCCGTGATTCAATTTATTAGATTGAAATGCCTATATAAATAAAAATTGAAAATAGGATTTAATCATTAAAATATGATATTAACACGATCTGCCTCACTAAAATTTAATGTTTGTCTTTCAAAATAATGTCTACTTTTATTAGCAAGTAATTGTATTTTCAAAATTGTTCGCATCAACTAGTGTTTTCTAAAATATTGTTCATGTGAAAATTATAAATCTGTTTATAAATGTAAACTAGTAAGACTCAATACTTATTTACATAAGGATAAATGTTGCAACAGTAATATCTGGGTAATAGTGGAAATTTCATGGTTAATTTGTAAAGGAAATCGCCAGTTTACTCACTGATCTTTATGAGCTAAACAGAAATGAAAGCTCATTTGTCTGTATGCTGTCAGTCAGAAAAAAGAGAATCTGTGGCTTCTACAAGACAGGATAGAAAGACGCTTATATACAGAGAGTAAGCTAGAATTGGGGCTGTATGGAAATGTGAGTAGAGGATGCAGAGATAAAGCAAGCAATAAATTAAAAACACAGAATTAAGGCACAACTTAAAAAAAAGAAGAATGACTAGGACTGCTTCATATTTTTTTCTCAAGAAATAGGAGACATTTTTAAAAGGCTTTAATTTCCACAAGACCTTAGAGAAGAAATAAATTTTCAGCCATGAGTTCAACTATACAAGTACACGTGTACAAAACCTCTCCATCTCTCTGATCATAAAGACAATGACATCTAAAAACGTGATGACTCAGACCCACAAAAAGAATTGATTGAGAAAGTGATACCTTAAAAGAAGTTGACTGTATCGTCTTAGAATTCAGGATAAGTCAGGAATAAAAGGTTTCAGGATAAGTCAGGAATAAAAGGTTTAGCATAATGAATTACTTACGTTCAATTTTAGCAGGGCAGACCCCAAGGACCCAGGATAAACAACAAGAATTAATCTGTTGGATGAGACATTCGAAAGAGTAGAAAATCTCTTTAAAAATGCAATTCTGATTCTGTGACTTTATTGGGCCAGAGAGGCAGGAGGTGAGGGCGTTACAACTTGCATTTAGAAACACATGTGTGAGACCATGCACCTTAAGATCTTCTACTCTCAGTCTCACAAAAGAACTCTCAGAAGTCTGAAAGTCTTGCCACTAAATCACCCAGAATTTACCTACTGACAGTTTCTAGGAAGTAGAAACACAAAGTTACATTCAGGAAAATTGACTATCAAATATCGGAGAGTGAAACAATAATTCATTAATTTGTGATCTTTGCCTAGTGTTTTGTCTAGGCTCTGTGTCAATGTATCTCCTGTAAGATAAGAAGGAGCTTAGAAATTGCTTAAGTAAGACTCAGAGAATGAAATCTCAAAGAATGTACTATAGCCAGCTTCTAGAGAACTACAGAGCTGATATTCCTCTCTGATATTTTCTATTGCATCAGCCTCTACAATGTCATGATAAATCAAGCATGTAGTCTCTCAAAGCAAGAACACGCCTGTGACTGGTTCCTTGAAACTTGAACTCTTTCACATTTTTGCAGTGTCTGTATCAGGTGGCCATAAAAAGGTGATATACGCATTCTATTCCAAGCAAATTTTCAAGGTTGTGTAACTTTAGGAGCGCTTTCTTACACCGTGTGCTTGGGGCAGACTGAGATAAAATGGCGATGACCATGGCGCCCATCAAGGAAGACTTCATAGGACTTCATAATGATTGGGTTTAATTTGGGTGCAGCAATGGGCCACTGATGAATTTTAATAAGGGGGGCAATTACACTGACTTCTGTTTGAAGACCAGATAGAAGAGGTAGAGTGGGAGCAAGGAGTCCACCAAGCAAGCTATTGTGGTCCACAGCAGATGATGGTCTGGCAAGATTGGTAACAACAGAGACAGAGAGTAGCAGATGGCTTTAGAAAGAAGTAAATGTTTTTGAAAAAATATATTTGGAGGTAAAATAGACAGGATTTGCTTATGAATTGAACACGGAAGATTCAGGGAAATGCAGGAGTCAAGGGTGGCATTCAAGTAAGTAACTAGGCAAGTAGAGATGATAGTTACTAATAGGGAAGGTTGGGGGAAAGGTTAATTGTGAGTTCTTTTATAAAACATGTTAACTTGGACACATTTACAAGACAATCACATGGAATTGTCAAAAACTAAGAACTTCCAAAGTTCTGACCAACAACACCCAGCCCTCAGACTTTAGGGAATAAACTACAGATGAATTGAGAAGTGGACTAGAGGTGATTTTTCTGGTGGAAGAAAGCCTGGAAGGACAGGGAAAGAAGATGTATTTGTGCTTGGCCCTCTTCCTACAGCTGAATATCTTCTCTCTCTGTTCCTCCCCCAGGGCTATCCCTACCCATACACAGAATATATTAGATAGTTTGGTTAAAGGCAAGATCCACTCACCCCAGAACTTTACTCCTGAATTCTTTGAGATCTCAGCATTCTGTAATCTTTTTTTTAGATATGGAAAGCTAGTCCTTCTTAGGAGGATTCATTTCATCAGGGGTGAAAGAGGGGATAGTAATAATATTTCAATTATTTTTTAGTATAAATATAATTTCAATATTCAGTTAAGACCTTGACAGTGAAGGAATTAAGTATGGGGATGGGTAAGAACAGAGAAAATCTGTAGAAGAGACAAAACATAGTTTTAATTTGTAAACACTGAGTACTAGAAGGAATCCGCATTAGGGAACTTTGGAGAAGTCTTGGCTATACAGCAATATTATATAAACCTTACCCTTTCTTTTATGATTTCAACAATCAATTAATTCCTGTTAGAGATCTACCCTCATTATTTTTTTTCCATCCTGTTCTATAGAGACTGGCTAAGGACCAGGTCTGGTGCATGTTTTATGCTTCATATCATCTGCAGAAGTACACAAGTGTCACTATGCATACCTTATTTTAGTCTTTTAAACTTATTGTCATATCAGAGATTTTTGAACATAGCATATCAGACAGGTGCACACACACACACACACACTATACACAATGCACACATTCACGTACACAGATAGAAATTTGGCAGGGTGGGGAATCTCTAGATTCAACTTTATCCAAACCCTAGCTCTTAGCACAATATATTAATATTATGACATTCTTGGCACTTGGGGCTGATGATCCAGTTGCATCACAATTATTCTGCATAACAACTCCCAAATCTCAATGGTTTACAACATTTCTTCTTGCTCCCAGGACTGTGAGGTGCCTGTGTCTCTTCTGGGCTTGCCCTGAGATTGACTATTCAAGTGAGCATGGATCTAGGCTGTGGAGTGGGTTTCAGATCTGCTCCCTGTGTCTCCTCATTTTGGGGCTGCAGGGACCTGTAAGATGTTCTTTCCATGGAGGAGTGCTGGACAGCAAGAAGGCAAGCACAAACATGCAAGCTTTTGCTCAGAATTGGCACACAGTCGCTTCTGTTCTCGTTCCATAAATTACACCAAGTCTCATGGCCAAACTGAAAGTCAGCGGGGTGGAAGACTGGGCTCCACCCACAGGGAAGCCTTGGAGCGGAAGAAGGGAAAAAGGAATTGTAAATAATCTTATCTACCTCGGGGCAATTATTCTTTTAAGTTTTCTGTCTCCTTTCTTAGACCACACTCTGGCTTGTCAGTAAATGCTCAGAAAAACAGGAGGGGAGGAAGGGATAGGAAAGAAATAGAGAATAATCCCAGGGAGATTCGATGTGAATTTCTCTGCTCCCATCACTATGGCCATCTCATTGAAAACAGAGCTACTAAGCATTAAAAAATGAGGAGCACTTGAAAATTCAAATATGGCTTTTTG